CCCCCCCACCCCGCCTACCCAACGCCACATCCGCCGCCCTCGCTTCATAGTAGGCGGGAAAAAACAACTAGATATGACATTGTCTATATCGCATTTCTTAATAAAACTGTAACTTTTAAAATCCAATGGGTTAAATTAATTTTTAAACACCTAAAGGTTTGACCTTGATAAAAACAAGCTATTTTTTAGGTAAACACTACAAAAAAACCAATGAATCAGGAAATATGTCAATTTTAAATAACAGAAGCAAATAAATTCTCCTACTTAAGATATTAGGAAATACCAATTTGGGAAGGTCGATTGAAGTAAGAACGGGTTAATACATGCAAATAAAAAATGGAATGCAAATCAGAACAGTACTACAGTGTGAAAATCGTTAAAATAACCAATGGGATGAATAATTCTAACAAGCTGTAGTATTACTACAAGTTTGGAACAAGAAACTACTTATTTTTACCATTAAACAAGTTTACTGGATTCAGCTGATTGAATGACTACGCTTAATCAATAGTTCGTTGCTTTACAAATCAATGGCTTAGGGTTAAACTAAAATTAAGGCTGTGGATGAAATTCTAGCAGTCTAATCACTCATGACATGTGTAGGATTTTAATTGTCCAAAAAAGTATTAAAATTACGTCATAGTGTTTAGAGAATAGTAATGACTTTGATATTGTTCGTTTCAGTGAGTATTAGCAGGCAGTGGACAATTTTGCGTTGCACAATTTTTGCTCAAGTTTGAAATGACCATAAATTTTAATACCAAATTGATGCTTGCTGCAAACATGACAGTAAAATATAAAAGAACACTGAAAATAGGAATGAGAAATTTTAAATGAATATATGTATGCATGCCAATAGAGCAGAGGAATGATTATGTCAAATGGTCATTTGATAGGGTAGCTAAACATACATTTACATTGAATTACGTAAAGTATTTCAAAGGGTTTGGAGTGGAAACGTAAATAACTAACAGATTAAATTATCCGATTTTTAAATTCATGATAAGCCAGTCCTAATAAAGATGTCTATGACAATTTGATTAACGAATTTATTAATGCTTTGCTTCTGGTTTCCACTAGTACCTGACGACCCAAACTTTCGCAGTATTAAAAGAGCCATAAGTCATTTCTGGTCTGGTAGACATTCACATTGGCCGATGTGTCAATGCAGGGACTATGAGTGGAAATATAAGCTGGATCGTGCAAAATCAAAACTGCTTAGTATTAGTCACCAAGTTAGCTGGGTTTAAATGTGAATTATAAGAAACATAAGATTCTGTGCCCTAGGTAAGCTGAGGCCAAAGCCTTGTTCCTATCCGATCTTATTTCATTATGAGGTACTTCTTAAATGACATTATCTAACAGATTAAAAATTTATCATTTACTAAACTTAAGAGGACATGCATTTAAGTGTAATTGTTGGTAGAACAATTAAGCACACAAAGCATGGCAGACACAATCAACAGTAAGGTCATCATCCAATAAAATTAGAAAATGCACTTGTGACCAAAATTAAACAGCAAGAACGAAATTAAGATTATTATCAATTTTTGAAAAATGGTTCAAACAAAATTAGACAACGAATTTTGCACCAAATGCCCCCTTAAATAGGGATGCAACAAGATTCAATAAACATCTAAAAGCGATTAAGAAAGCTGAAGACCATCAAAACCATGTAGCCAATTAGGAAAACGGTGATTAAGCAAGAGACCGCGCCAGACAAGGAGGGGAGTGGAGACGCATAGGAGAGTAATAAGTACCATGCCAAACAGGGAGAAAAGCCTGCGCACCAATTGCGCACGAAGCTCTGCGACCTCGTGAACGCGTTCTAGGTACGCATGTACTCGTCGAGCAAAATGCAGGTGTACGCGGTAAGTCCACAACACGCCTGGCTCTTCCCATACGCCCCCGCACACACTGGCAAAACCCGATTTTGGACATAAGGCTAATTCTCAAATTCCCAAAATCATGTTTAGTCAATATTTTGTCTATGAGAGCACTAAAAACATGGCTTTCGATTTTTTATAGCTACTCAAAAGGCAAATTGCCACAAGCATATTGTTTCGAGGGCCGTTATTGTCAGTGATATGCAGCATTAAGAGATTCATGCAGTAAAATTTAATAACGTCTATCAAAAATAGCATAGGAATTGCTCTTTAATCGTTGTAAAATGGCTTCATAGGTTTCAGAAAAAAACTTATTATCCTAAATATAGCAAAAAAACTACAGCTATTCATACGCCTTTTAAAACATCCCACAAAAAATAATCATTATTATTAAAATCCATCCATTCATCTCCAAATGCACAGGAAATAACTGACAAAATGTACCATTGGAAAATAAAGCTAGTTCTATGGCGTGTTACGAAAATATGCAACCATATCTATCAATACCTTAAGTAGTTGATTGTTTAAACGAAAGCAATTACAGTAGAAGACCAACAAAAAACAAGTTAAATGAGATTAGAAACTTACGGAATGCTGTCAAGACGTCTCTTTCTTTTGGATCATTTGTAAGAACCATCGTCAAAGAACTATATGGCACTTGATAAGCCTACAAATCAAATGCACAAACGAAAGTGAAAAAAAGCTATAAACAATATATTTAAGTAGATAAGGACTATTTTACGGTCAATCCTATCTGAATAAGGCAATTTAAAGTGAGATACATGGCCAATTTCGCCACGGCAGATGCATTAATTGAATAGTAGAGGAAGAAAAATGAGAGAGCCCAGACTGGAGTTGAAAATATCATCCTAAATTTAAATAACTTCGATTATTTTGTAAAACAAAAAGCGTTAAATGATATAAAAATAAACTTACCAGGGTCTTTTCTGTCCAAATCTTGAGCGAGTTTTCAATACAAGATATCCCATAATGGGATCAGTAATAGCATCGACAACACGAGATGTAAGAATAACGGCAGAGAGATATCTTGGAGGAAGATCAACCACTTCCAAAAGAAAAAGTGTTAGAAAGAACCCGGAAATATTTTGCATTAGTTGCATCGGAACACCACCGATACTGAATGCTAATCTGCGCCAAAGAGAAAGGGGGTGATGGATTTCAATATCTTTAGCTGATTCATAATTAATTGAACCACCATCAGAAACCTCTATCTCAATACCCTTGGTACTCATTATAACGATCTAACGGAGACACCCAAAAGCTATATAGTCTTCGGGCAGAATACTCCCAAAACCGCACGCGTACAAGCAGTACTGGTTTTTGATAAGTACAAACAAAATTTGAGGTAAGAAATTTATTGCCATGAATTCCTTCTTAACAATCAATAAGGGTTTAATTTTATTATTAAACCATGTGGCTTTATTGATACTTAATTTTTATTTTATTTTTTAACTCCGAGATAGAACATTTATACTCGAATTTGTGGTTTATCGTGTTTATCTTAGTGGAAATGATCTATCTAGGGCAATGGTTAAATGAATAAATGACTTTTAAGCTTTTATATATTGATTATTTTAAAGGTTCTAAAGCTCAAAGATGATAACGGATTTTCATATTCGATGAAAATATTTGGATTTGAAATAATTATATTTGACATGATTGCCTTTTTTATATACTTGGTTTTGTTAGTGAAAAATATATTATTTGTTAATGAATTGCACCTCATATTATCAAAAAATGTCATGTGCTTATCTTAGTAAATAAACCCAAATTGACTTACTCGAGAAGGCATAATAATTACAAATGCGAACTGATGGATCCAAAAGCCGGAACAAAAGGAAATTTCTTGGTACTGTGTTTGTACATTAAACAAAGCAAGAATAATTCGATAGAAAAGAGAAATGGGAAGGTACGAGTTATGTTTGTGGTGAGTACAAAATGTTTAATTTAGTTAGCCGGTTTGGGGATTAGTGTTACCCTTTGTAACCCTTAAATCATTTCACAATTCAAAATATCAATATTAGGCGCATGCTAACCAAATATTCATATCAAAGCTACAAATTCTCCATAATGCTCTTCCCTATTTGGGGACCATTAGTATAATCTCTCAAGCATTATAATTCCCCATAATAACTGTTTGGTTGACATTCTAAAAAGCTGGATGTCAACATATATACAAGCAACCGTTCGCCGTTCTTATAATTTCCTCCATATAGAAAAGGAAACTAAAGTTTTTTTCCTAGAACCTCGGCAGATGGGAGTTATATTTACTGAGTATAATGTATACATAATTGTACTTACTTTCATCGAACTACATATATCTAATCTAACTTGAAAGTGCGATTCTCACGACTCAAAAGCGCTAGACAGACTACTAGAGGAGAAAATCTACCCAAAGGCACTAAATTTAAAAGTCAGTGAAATATTCAAACTAATATTCAAATGATCAGCAGTGAAATATAAGAGATTAAGTGAAAATAATTGTGATTCAATAGCCAAGAGTAACGCTTAAACGGCTTATCGATACTTATGCTGATAAAACATCCTTTTTGCACATATCTCAGAGGTCTACAAGAAGCTCTCTTCCTTGCAGTGTGTATTATTTTACAATTATTTTAACACATTACAAATTTCGAAAAGAAAAATAATTAGGAGTATCTACTTGCTTTTCAAGATCTTTATATCAAGTTTAAAATTTATATCTCTGACTAGTTGCATAAGATTAAAATGGATGAAATAGAACAAAAACCAAACTGACTATTTATTGTTATCGAAATGAGAAATATCCCCATCCAAGGCGATGCTAATCAAAATATTAATTATCGTTTGATTTATTCTTCTACTTCTAAACATCTGGAACCTCTCTGAGAGTTACGAGCACTCCTGAACAACTGTTCTCCACACCCCATCTCTACTAATTCCATTTCAGATTAGCTGAAAATTCGAATTCACATTGTTTGGGCAAAGAGGTCTTAAAGCCTCTTCCTCCTCAGTTTGTCCATAAAGATGTTATAATAAATAGAATTCATCAATGGATGTCATTGAAGTGACGCACTTTTAGTCTGTAACTTTGGAGTTGTTTTTCCCTATTCCACACAATGTTTCAGGTAGTGCGGTTTTTCCCGCTCTAGTTACTGATACTGTCATTTTATCAGCATGTTTATTCTTCTCCACTGCAAATTCGCCTAGATATTCTACCACTAAGACCTTATCCAAAATGCTTCTAAAGCAGCTCAGTCTATCCCAGCTAAAACGGAACGCTTTCTTAAAATTTACGACTTGGAACAATATTGGCGATGACTACTGCACCGATATGCTCCACATGGTCCACTACACCTCACTCTCAAGTGGTGCCACCTTCCCCTTCCACCTTCCACCCCAGATCAGCTGAATCACATGAAGACTGAATTTTCAACAACTTCTGAGTGAAATTTTAAAGGCAGCGTCCATTGGATCGTTTTAGCTGCCATGTGTCTGCTTGATCAAGGTGCCAAGATCTTCGCGGATCCTGAAATGCATTAAACGAAGAGATTTCGAAGCCAATCGATACTATAGCTCTTAACTCAGAAAGGTGAACATATTTAAGATGTTTTAAGCTTGAATGGATACTACCAATAGGATTGATGACTTATCTCTAAAACTACTTAACCGATCAATTGGCTCTTATGAGGTGTATTTCATTCAAAGGTAAAACAAGTAACTGAATACCTTTATACAACATTTTGTTGGCATATGTTGTTATATGCCAAGAACAGCCAATATTTTTATAAATCATATTTTAAAAGTGTAACCACTAACATTTTTCTCGTCATTCCATGACAATGTAATACGTGTTAATTGTTGGACAATATTTATATTTTCTATAACAATTCGACCAATCCAGATTTTCTCTTGAAATAAAGTTTTCTAAAACTCACCCTTATCTCCCAGGTTAGTGGTAAAATCACTGATGATTGTGGGAACAAATTTCGTATGTTATTTTAGCAGATCTCCTCTTAAATTTACTTGAATTTCCTTTGGCTTCGGGTATTTGAGGTTAATTTGATCAAAATCTTTGTCCATGATTGATTTCTTTAATTATGTCATCAAATTTTATGTTCTAAATTATCGATTGGTTTTGTAATGAAATTTTAACAAATATGCCATGCAGACGGAAGTCCAGCCACGTGTATCGTTGTGTACATTATTCGGTGTTGGTAAATTTAGGACTACTATGGAGTACATAATGTAACCAAGAGTAATCAAAGGAACCACATTCGTCCCAGAAAATTCTGAATAATGAGGACGTGCGTGCAGGACCATCTCAGCTAATTAGTAATCGATTTTACTAGAAGTAGAATAATCCTGATAGTTATTATTATCAAATCCGATGGATAGTTTGCCAACGTATACAATAAACTCTTCACGTCATTCCCTCCGTCTCCCAGGTAAAGTTGACATAGCTTTGCTAATTCCAGGAGCAACTTCACAGGTGGGAATTTTGTCAGAGAAGACTGTTGGCATTTAATTAAAATCTATTTGAGAGATATCCACTGTAGTGCATATCTATACCCAATATTAGGTATATTTATTTATTTATATCAAATGACAGGCGTTTTGACAGTTATCATTAGCCCTTTAGTTGACTTCAGGCTACACAGAGGGGGAGGAACATCAAAGTGAAAAAAAGTCTTGGGGGGGGGGGGGACAGAAGAGTGATTCAAAGATGTAAAAGGTAGAAAAAAAGTGAGGTGAGTACCGTGAAGTAGTCGAATATGACATACACTGGGGTGATGGTGGTTTGGAGTCAGAATTCAACTGCCGGTTAATAGACTTTTGCCGTATGAGTATACGTTGCCCAGGGTGCACCACGTGGAGGTAAGTCTATCACACACCCCTATATTTGGAATATAAAAGCCTCGTTTGAATCCCTACTCCATCGAAACCCCTATAAAAAATAATCCTAAACTACCCATGATACTTCAGCAGAATCAATGAAACAGTGCATGGAGTGAATAGATTTATTACAGCTTATGAGCCGCTGACATAGAGCTTAGTAGTTAAAATACAATTAGAGCTAAGCTAACACTTTGGCGACTATTGATTGGTGATTGACTGACAGGCCTCTGCACTCGCGACTGTTTATTTATTTTTTCATTTCAGATGGCGGGCATTTTGCTAGTTATCATTAGCCCTTAGCTGACTTCGAACTTCAGAGGGGAGAAACATCAAAATTAGAGAAATTCAAGAGGGTGGACCGAAGAGTGGTTTGCAGATGCAAAAGAGACAGACACAATGATAGAGAGTAGGGTAAGGTGAGTACCGTAGAGTGGTCGACTATGACGTACAGTGAGGTCGTGGTAGTTTGAAGTCAAAAGTCAACTGCCGGTTAATAGGCTTTTTTGCCGTATGAGTATACGTTGCCCAGAGTGCACCGCGTGGAGGGGTAAGCCCATCGCACACTCGCAACTGTACGTCTTCGTCATGGAGCTGCCGTTGTTCAGCCTTAATAACCTTTGGGCATTCCTTGTGACAGCAACCAGTTCAATTACAGATGAATCTAGTACTTATACATAATTGAAATTGGGCATACATTGTACCTTTTCCTGTTTCAGGTACCTTATCAATTCAACTCCCCCCCCCATTAATCATTAAAATATAACTTGGTATATCATCTTAGTTTAATTCAATTTAAACAAGTCCTGCTTCAGTATCAAAATACGTTTAAAAGACTAAAATTTTTATCATTATAAATAGGTAGTAATTAAATTTATTTCTGATATATTTTCTCAAAACCTAAATATTACCTTAACCGAGACAGTGGTGACCTCTACATACCTAGACAACTCAGGCGATTCACATGGCCTGATTTTCCGCATTGCACTGAGAACGTTACTGTCATCAACACTCAACAAAGCACTCAGGTAATCGTTCCAGGCTGACTTTCTCTCACGGCGATTTGGAATTTTCACGGTTGATAAGACTCGACACACCTCCAGTGCATTTTCTGCTTCAAGACTTCCCGCATTCCTCTACAGATAACTATAGACCGTATCATCTAGTCCCCATTAAAAATTGCAGTTCATCACAATTCTTGCTCTTCTTATTCGAGTAATGCAATTCTATTAGCCAAACGCGGCCATATTATAAAAGTACCTTTAATTTGAGATCAGCGCTACTTTACACAAATGTTGCATGTCGTCTCGATTTAGCTTAACGCTCATAAAGATAATTTGTCTCTAACCAGGACGTCAGGCCATGTTGTGTAGCTCAAAAAAGCAAAATACCTATTGCAATGCATGAGTCTGCCAATAACACATCATCACTAAGACACGTCACAGCATTATACATGGCAAATCCCGTTCTTGCAATCCATTTATTAGCAATGAATAGTTCAATCGCACGGTAAATAACGATCCAATTCAATGGAATAAAAAATAGATTGTTTTACTAAATGACCGGCAAATCAATACAAACCTGAAATATCTAACGAAATAGGTCTGTAAATAAGCATTTTAATACTGGCATCAAAAGGATTTTGTCAAGTGTTTCAACCAGTTTCAATTTCGATTCGCAAATCAAACCAAATAGAAGACTAGCAAATTATCAGATTTATGAAGTTAATTTACTATTTATAAATCTACTTGTACAAAGACGGGAATTCATCTGGATGGCTTTAATTGTCTGATGTATCCTTGCCGGTTTTGTAGGAACGCAGATAAGCCGGAACAGACTCGTCGAAAGCTCGCTGATTCCTCTTCATGGATCGATTCGCAACGGAGGATTTTGGAAGATTAGATAAACGGGGATAGGGATTCCTGTAATGAATTGCCAATTCAAGTCTTGATTCACCTTCTAGGATATGGGCCTGTATAAACCAGATCACAAAAATGTATCAACTACTGATATATTTTTAAGTAGGAATAAGCTAATTACGTACCTCAATAGTTTTTGGGTCAGTTAGATGCGCATTGCTTCGAAAGAGGGTTCTAGCCTCTTGCTTAATGTACTCTCTTTCCTTTGCAGATCGAGTGGCATCACCACTTGCTGAAGTCCATGTCTTTGACAAACGCATTAAACGTTTGTAGAGATCCAACACACGTGTTTTCTGTGGAAGAGATGTCATTGGAATAGTTTTGAACAGGGCTGAGGCCGACATCCACTAAAATATTGCAAGTGTGCGATAGCTATGAAAATATTCAAGCAATTGTATGAGCCTCGTTAGTTATCGAAACTTTTCAAGTAAAACTAAACAGAACAACTCAAACCAAGTTGGATATAAGAAAAGGCGATCACATTGAATTATTACTTTATTTATAACTGAATAAAAACCCATTCACGACAGTCTTTGCAAGTGAATGTTTGCCCAACTGGAAATCTAAGTTTGATTAAATTTCACTCGAATTTCGAGACAGAAAATAATTCGGACACTCGGTAGACAGAGTTGATAATTAGTGCATGAATCATAAACCTTTGTAAAGCTGTGAAATTACCTGCACATTAGTATTTTCATTCAAAGACAAGAATGAACAAACAGATGGAAACTTCTAGATTTACATTAAAACTGAAGAAAATATAAAAGCTATCCACTAAGAATAAGGACACGATTCAAGCAAATAGTAAATCACGGTGAATATATTGATGCCAACTTACTGGATTCTAGAAATAGCGAAATTTATGCCACTAATTTAAATGCCTATAAAAATATATCCAAACAGTGATGAAGCATTCAGAGCAAACTAATTAGAAGGACGATAGTAATCGCAGTGGATTATTCAGCCTAATTAACAGACTCGCCAAGGAAACTCGAGGACACAAAGGGTCACCACGTTTCAGCTAATTAGCATATCGATGTGTCCTCAGACTGTCACTCGAACTTATCCAAAAACCGTATTTCAGACTGATTACACTAAGGCCCACACTTTCATCAAATTACAAAAAAACCTACACCACAATGATACAATCCAGTTTCCATTTATATAAAGATTGCTAACAACAACATTATTTATATCAAATGGCAGGCTTTATGATAGTTACCATTAGCCCTTTAGTTGACTTCGGGCTTCACAGAGGGGGAGGAACATCAAAATTTAAAAAATTCAAGAGGGGGGGGGGGAACAGAAGAGTGTATCAAAGACGAAGGTATATAAGGTGGAAAAAAGGTGAGATGAGTACTGTGAAAGTAGTCGAATATGACATACAGTGGGGTCGTTGTAGTTTGAAGTCAACTGCCAGGTAATAGACTTTTTTACCGTATGAGTACACGTTGCCCAGGGTGCACCACGTGGAGGTAGGTCTATCACACACCCCTGCTAACAACAACATAAACTCTGAGATTTCTAAATTACTGAAAACATCTCTCAACATCCAAGATTAGACAGAATTACTTGACCAGTTCAATGACCGTAAAAGAACCAATGAATAACAAACACATGCTATTAGATTCCACAGACAAGTAGAGTTCAAATGTTCTACTGTTTTTGGTGACGTAATGGCCAAAGTTCAAGCCCTTCGACTCACCGATCCACTTTGAATGAATAGAAAGACCAAAGCATTAATTTAAGCTGGTCAACAGAACAAAATACAAGCGAATAACACTTCTCAACATATCAAGAGAAAGATAGACAACACTTAAAATGGTCAATGGAAGGGAATCATGAAGCCATTCTTATGAGAAATTTACATTCTACACCAAAATTTGTTGACAAGAAGTTGCCGGTGTAATGGGTCATCCCCATGACTGATGGAAATCATTGATGTGTCCTCTGAACTTGTAGACACGGAAGGATGAAACAAAATAACTACTTCCTCCAATTACAACTTTATTCCCGAAAACGCCAACTAGAGTAAACCGGTTAAACCAAGTTAGATTGAATTAGACCGGAGTCAATATATGATCAAAGGTAACAGATAGGCCAGTAGAGATGGCATTGAATGACGAGTTTCAACCGTTGAATGGCGAAGTATCAACAAACTTCACCATTTAGTCACAGTGACAGAATGAAAATATAGGAGATATGCGCAACAACGACCTCACAACTATAGGCCCACTCAAAGCACGGTAGCAGACTTAGCCCCTGGGGAGACATGATTCATCGTCCCACGCAAGGGAGAGAAGCATCACAAAATCAGCGCATTGGAGAATAAGTGTCCTGAGATTATTCATCACGCATAAAGTAGCCTGCTGAAATGCTCGCTTCGCCATAGTTGCAGCTCTGCGTAACGCGACTGCCACAACCGAAAGAATGGCTTCCACATTGTATATATATATATATATATTTCCAGAAAATACATCAAATAAACGTCACAAAAGTGAAATGACCAAATGAAAAACGGAAAGAGCTTAAGTGGAGGATAGTTTAAGAGGAAGGTGAGTGAAAAATGTAAGCAAACAAGAAAAAGAAAACAGACTGCGTCAAGTTAAGACCCAACATCTGCTTGCCCCACACAATATGCTACAATTAACACGAAATGAAAGAAGTTATCTCTCACTACTGGAACCAAGTGGAATCATACAATAAAATGGTTCACAGGAAAAAAATAGGAGATGGGAAAGCTCCATTAAAAATCACAAGACATTTAAATGTTCAGCCACTTACTTGTGAATGCTGAACCGAAATTGCATTTAAGGAAGCCGACTATAACAAGAAGTGGGACATCATAAACTTGAAAAAATGCAGAGTTGCTTAGGTGTTGCCAAAACAGAAATGTAGATGTCATCAACAATTTACACAAAATCAGATCGCCTAACAGTGGACATTTGATATTGTCACGGTTAGAAAAGGGGAAAAAACATTTGTGAGAATTCAAGTAACCAGAACCCCCACTCTACTTTTGAGAGAGGGGGGGGGGCGTGCGATATAGACTTACCTCCACGTAGTGCACCCTGGGCAACGTATACTCATACGGCGAAAAAGTCTATTAACTGGCAGTTGACTTCTGACTTCAAACTACCATGACCCTACTGCATTTCATATTCGACTAATTCCACAGTACCCACCTCACCTCTTTTCTACTTTTCTACCTTCGTCTTTGAAACACTCTTCTGTTCCCTCCCCACCTCCTATCGACTTTCTTTCACTTGGATGTTCCTCCTCCCCTCTGTGAAGCCCGAAGTCAACTAAAGGGCT